GCGAAAAAATCGTAAATTTTAAAAAACTCTAAATTACGGCAATTTAAAGAATTTTTAGCTCAATTTTGATGGCATATTCAGAATCTACATGAAAAATTGGTCTAGAAACACTCTTTCAAAGTATGATCGATTGATACAGAGTCTCGCTACAGAGAGTCAAAGAGAGGGAAGTCGAGAAAATGAGAATCGCTAAAACGGGCTTTTTTGAATATCGCTAAAATTCACCCCATCTTTGGGGGTCGATATATCGCGAACGGGGCGTTGGATGGGAAAACCCTTCAAATTAGTTTCTTAGAATGATGTAAAGACCCCGTATACCAATTTTCAGCCAAATCGGAGGGGGTCGGGTTCCGAGCTTGGTTGCGTTGACGTGGAATGACCCAGCGGTGTTTGGGTGCAAAGCTTGCCAAAACGCTTCGGGACCGAGATGATTACACGGCGACGTACGATTAATTATGAGAAATTACCTCAATTTGACTCTTTCCGCGTGATTAATGGACCCACACGCGTGCGTTGTAGTTTTATTGGTCCCCGTCCCTGAATGTCCCGTTTTTATCGCTAGGTTGCCTACGTGTATAAGCACGTGGAGAAAAAAGAATTACGTAGTACAGTGTTAACAATCATGGTGTGCACAATCAGTTTTCCTAAGGCTTTTTTGAAATCCTAATCATCCCAAAATAAAACAAAAACGACGGTGTCAAAGATTTTCCGGAAAAAAGTTCCGCTTTAAATTCACCTTTGAAAACGCCATAATGTGATACGATCGTATTTCTCTTCTCGTTGTTGCTTCTACTGGAAAAAAGTTCTCTTGGATCCTGAGTCCAGCCTCTTTAAAAATTTGACAAGAACAAAATCTCTTGAATCAAAAGGAAATCCGCTTAAATTGGACGTATTTCTGTCAAACGGAACTATGTGCATTATGACGTGCATTATTCTTATGGGTCTCAAGGCTCATGTCTTAATGCTTACAGTCCTGTCTGGCAGAAATACGTCCTATTGAGCGGCTTGGCTCTCGATTTAAGCAATAATCTAATTGGACGTATTTCTGGCAAACGGAACTATGTGCATTATGACATGAGCCCTGAGACCCATAAGAATACATGCATTACAGGGCTCACGTCACAATGCACATAGTTCCGTTCGATAGAAATACGTCCAATTGAATCATGAGTATTGTTTCCTTTCAATTTTTTCAAGAGTCTAGCTGGACTCTGGATCCAAGATGCTTTTCTTTCCAGGGGCCGGAATGATACAACTAAGCCATGAATAATAAAACCTGCATTACACACCACATTTCTTCGCAGTGATGTAGAATCAAGTCCTGCTTGATATTTCGCGGGAAGCCCTACCTGCAACTTGCATTCTTCCCCAAGTTCCCGCATATCGCTTCCTCGTTGGCGAGCGCTGGCAGTCGGCCAGGCGGCGGCCAAGTCGGACGGTCGGATGTGGCAGTATTTTCTTTTCGTTTTTGGCATTTCGTGCATGTGCCGGGTGTCCCTGTCGCCCCCCTCCACTCCGCTGCCCTGCGCCCTCTGCCCCCCGGCGGTGCCACCGGGGGACCAAGCGCCGTGCCGTGACTCAGTCTGATAATCAATCAAGCCTTCGCCGTAACTTTCGAACTTTCCATTTTACATTTTTGCCGCCTCAAGGCAGTTTTGGACTTTTCGACCCTTTCAAGTTAAGTGCCGCGGCCTTCGGGCAAGATTCGCGCGTGTTTTTCGCGGAGTGTTTTGTCTCTATCGCATCACGGTAACAATCCCACGTCAGGTATTCTGACCGACGGACTCTCTGCTGAAACGCCTGAACTCCCTTTTTACGAGCCTCCTCTCTCGTTTTTCTCCCTTTAGTGCAGAGTATCCGTATTTGTAGGAGTAGGAGAGCGGTACTTAAAATATACGTAAACGAGAAAATTCCAGCAAATATGACAGGGGTTTCAATCCCTCATCGTCGAGTTTTTGGTACTTATCGCAAGATTAGGCCTCAGTGAAACTCCCTCAAAATGTGACTCACCCCATCATTAAAATTGTTTAACTGAAACTTTTCGTTGGTCGCATGAAACTTACACAGCCCATATCTTAGAGAATTGCATCGTTTTTAACACTCGATTGTGATGTGTCATAAGTGGACATCTAGATATTATTTTTTTTGACGTTTCTAAGATTTATGTTTTGGATTCATTAAGATCATTATCGTATCAATTCGAAGTTTCCGAAAGTAAATGGAAGTGAAGATTTCCACTTTTAGGAATTTGATCTTTTAAGGGTGTTCAGATCCCGTGGGTCTTAAAATTGTGACAAAACGGTACCAAAAGTAGGTAATCTGGTTCCTGTGATTGATTGAATCTACAAAAAAAATTTTCTTTGGCAATGATACTTACAAAAAGTTACTCAGTTAGGGGCACAGCTAAAATCAAGGTTAGTCTTATGAGTGGCGTGAGTAATAATTATGCGTTTGCATATTTTTCTTTAAAGTAATGTTCACTACTGTCCTATTAATCAGTGTCAATACAATCTCGACGCTCATCAGTATTATTTTAGTGTTGATCTTTTGACAAATTCTGATTGAATGTTTCAAACTGCACAATTCTATTAGGAGTGATTTATGTAACTTTTGAGGAATCAGCGAAGAGGCTCAATCAATGAATTATCAATCGATTGAAAGTGTCAATTTTTTTAGGAACCTCCTTTTTAGGCTGTAAAAATCCGCAATTCGCAAATGTTAATATCAGTCACCAGGTTTTTGTGCAAAAAATGAGGTGTATGTAGGAGTTCTGGAGTCCTTTCCTTGCTAGCTTCCATGTCGTAATATTTCCTAAGTGTCGCATAAATCTGCGGTTTATGGTTGCCTCGATGAGGACTGTGTATTTTCATCTTCGTGAATTCTTCATGAAGTTAAGTTCAATATAGGATCATGAGCTCTGGTCATATAATGAACGGGGAATTTGTTCATGGATTTGTGTGTTTTACGTTCCGAACTCGCTTGTGAATAAAAATTATTGAGACGTAACATTCAAGGTTTAACATTGTGTCATCGTCATGAAGAATAAAATATTCTTAACCTTAATATAAATGAACCTTAATCATCTTTTAAATGTTGGTTCCATTCAAGTAGTTCCCATGCGTTCGTTTCTGTCATTTTTCTTGATTTTGAGCGTGCATGTTCATGCATCTTTTTCTGGAGCTTTCACGGCGTTTCGTGCCTGGAAATACGGACCATTTTACTTTTAAGTTTTCTTCTCTCATTTCCTAGGCTGATCATGTGTATGTCATTCTTACGATGTTCGAAATCTCGATTTATGAGTGGTTTTTGGTTCCAATGTAAACAACAACCTTAAGTCCGAACTCTAAGTTGAGTATTATGTATTGTAGTAGTTCATCACGGCCCTGTCATCGATAAATCATATAAGAATATCAATAAAGAATATATGGTACATACATATCAAACACAAAAAATTTTGATCGAAAGAAACTATCACACGAATGCAACCACCTCGGCTTAAGTAAAAAGAGGTTGTGTATCTGTTTACATTGAAGCCATCAAGCGGCGATGTTCATCGAAATGTAGTGGCCTGGTGTGCTTTGCGATATATCGATTGATCTGCCATTTAAACCTATGAAAAAGGATCGATAAACAGGGTGTTCGCAGCGAACGCCCTAATAATCGATACTTTACCATTGCTTCAAATGGGGAAATACCAATGATCGATCTTTCACGCCTCGCTACTGATCGAATGACGTAACTGCACTAAATCACACTGGAAAAAAGAAACGCATTAAATCTAGAGTCCAGACTCTTAAAAATATCGATAAGAAAAAACAGTGTTGATTCAATCGGATTTTTCCTTAAATCAAGAACCAAGCCTCTTAATTTGAGCGGATTTCCTTTTGATTTAAGCAAAAATCTGATTGAATCAAGAGTATTTTTTCTTGTCAATGTTTTCAAGAGTTTGGACTCTAGATCCAATGTGTTTTTTTTTCCAGTGCAGTCTATTGGCTCCTCGTAAAATGACTCAGCTCGGGCAGAGACATAACACCGTGCGTTTACTTTACAATTGCATAATGTCCACTTACTTAGTATGCATCTTGTTCTGCAAGCCTACATATTGAAGGTCGTAGGTAGTTTCATCCATGCTGAGTGTCTCGTTACCATCATTTTATTCATGCCCGTGGAGCGTGCATTACCGCATAGCATCTTCCTCGGATTAATGCTAAAAGGAACTATGTGCATAGGGTTTCCGTACAAAATAGTTCCTTTCAGCATAGATACGTCCTATTCATCTCATTCACGCAGTTCCAAAGGATACTTTTCTAAAATGTATTCTGCGGAGAGATTATCCTCCAATCGGTAGCCATTTTCATCCAAGGTAGCCAACTAAGATTTACAGCTAGTTCCTTGAGTCAATTTTGATTTGTATGGTTTTGAAGGTCAGTCATATAGTGGCGTAATCATGACCCTAAACTCGCAGGAAAGATGATTTTGGCGATTTTCTGGCCTCCTTTACCTTTGGATTATGCTCTTCATTCCCCTCACCAGGGTGTCTACAAGTGCGGAATTTCCGGAAAGTCCGGAAAGAGTACTGATTTTTTAAGAGCGGTCTGGAAGTACTGAAAAGTGCGGAAATTCCGCAGGAAGGTCCGGAATTTTTGTCATTTTTGTCGCAATTTGAGCGAGAAATTGAAATTTTTGAAAATTTTCCAATTTCGTCAATTGGAGATACTGAAAAAGTACTGAATTTCTCTTTTGAGGAGGTACTGAATTTCTCTGTTGAGGAGGTACTGAACTTCTTGGGAATGGACCGGAATAGTACTGTAAAAGCACTGATTTTTGGCCAGCCTGATTTAGTAGACACCTTGCTCATTGAATGACTTCGTTCATAGGCCCTCTCTCCTTTATGTTACCAACCTCATTGATTTCCGAATACCGGACATGGCCCGCGATTCGAAAAATTCGAATTCTCTTTACAGCCTCATTAATTTTGGCAAATGATCCGTTTGTTCCAGACTAAAATTTATCGGCGCGAGTGGCTTATCGGACATATCCCTCTATCCGTTCTCTATCTGGCAGCGACCATGCCGCTCGAATTCCACCACGTGGACGCCTTCGCGGAGGCGCCGTTCACAGGCAACCCGGCCGCCGTGTACCGGCTGGACACCTGGCTCCCCGACGACCTCCTCCAGAAGATCGCCCGGGAACACAACCTCTCCGAAACCGTCTTCGTGGCCCGCGAGGGCGCCACTTGGCGGATCCGCTGGTTCACCCCGCGCGCCGAGGTCAAGCTCTGCGGTCACGCGACCCTCGCCGCCGCGCATGTCCTCTTCAGCGTCTACGGGACGGGCGGCGACCGTCTGGAGTTCTCCAGCCGCGCCGGGTCGCTGTCCGTGACCTGCGAGGCGGACCGTTTGACCTTGGACTTCCCGGCGCTGGTCCCGAAGGAGGTCGTCGTCCCCGACCTGGAGCGGATCCTGGGGGCTCGCCCGCTGGAGGTGCTGGTGGACGGGGCGGGTGGAGGTCGCGCCGACAAGCTCCTGGTGGTGCTGGACTCGGAGCGGGCCGTCAAGGAGGTCGTGCCTGACCTCCAAGGCGTGGCTGGGCTCACCTACGAGGGGGTGATAGTCACTGCCCCTGGCGGGGAGGTCGATTTCGTGTCCCGCTATTTCGCGCCTGCTGTCGGCGTCGATGAGGATCCTGTGACCGGCTCCGCTCATTGTTGTCTCATCCCGTACTGGGCCCGGCGGCTGGGGAATCAGGAGCTCACCGCCTTCCAGGTGTCCGCCCGTGGAGGTCGGCTGTGGTGTCGCTTGGATGGAGATCGAGTTCGCATTTCCGGGAAAGCCGTGACGGTGCTCACGGGACGGCTCCTCATCTGATCCCAGTGGCTTTAGTTTCTACTCCTCCTTGAAATGGTGAATCGTTAATGTAGATTTAGTCATGATTCTATAGAATTTTCTAGTTCGTCGTTTCCCGTACGAAAAGACGTAACTACATTTGAATTGCATTTTGCAAAAAGGAACCAAGAGCATTCCGATGTTACTAGGATTGTGCAACTTACATTATTTGCAGTAAAATTACTGAATCCTGGAAAAAATTAAATTTTCCAAGGTAATTTTTGTCGTGAATTTATGGTTTATTGGGAGTAAAGTTAGTACTTGTTGAGATGATCATTTTATATTCGCAAGGTAAAAATGGTCGCACAATCTTAGCGACATTGGAATGCTCTTGGTTCCTTTTTGCAAGATGCAATCCATTTCAGTGTTGCCGAATTGCCCTTCGCAAATTTCATTTTCATCAGGAGAGTTTTTGGCATTTATAATTGATAATTGGACGTATTTCTACCAAACAGAACTATGTGCGGGTGGGAAATATAGGATGTGCTCGTTAGTGCTCGGGCCGCAAAAATTACCGGGAATTATAAAGCGCCAGTGACGACAGCGGCGACGATGAAGCCCCGGAACAACGATCAGAGGCACTAATTATTCATGAGCCCTGTCCACAACGCTCTGGACACATGCCCACGGCTCACGAGTCCCGCATACACTCTGCACATAGTTCTTTTTGCTGAATTGAAAAATCGGGATTTTAAATTCTGTCAAACGGAACTATGTGCCAACTGAATGCAGGACTCATGAGCCTTGCGTATGTGTTTAGAGCAGTGCGGACAGGGCTCATGAGTCAATGTCTCGGATCGTCGTTCTTCGGCTCGGTCGTCGCCGCTGACGTCACTGGCGCTTTATGATTCCCATTCATTTTTACGGCTCGAGCACTAACGAGCACACCCCATATTTCCCACCCGCACATAGCTCTGTTTGGTAGAAATACGTTCTATTTTCCTAATTTTCCCCTGATTCCGTGTAATAATCCGAGGGAAAAATCAACAGGTAAAAGACAGGTAAAAAAGAACAATCAAATCTTGTAAAGAATTGAATTGCGTAAGTAAGTCAATTTTGCAACCTTGGAATTGAGTTACGGTCCTCAGTCCGGAAAACCTCGAGTTGTCTCTTTAAAGGGTTGTTGGCCTCTCGGAAAACTATAGGCTCATGTTATATAGACGTCAGTATATTTTAGATTGGAAATAGGTAGTGTTTTGCAAAGATGAAGCTTTTTTCATTTTGTCAGAATTGAAAATCACACTAGGCCTTGTACGTTATTTTCTTTTTCAATGATGCAACGTAATTTGTCTGTTTTCAAATAAATTGGTTTCAATCCTGTTGAACATGTCTAAAAGTATCCATACCTCATTACACCCAAAATATTTATGCCTCTACGTTATCGAGTAGAGACCCTCCTCACTAGTATCCTGGCAATGGTGGGAGCTTTCATTCAGTAGCGTGGCGTGCTTTGCGAATTATCGATTGATCTACCATCTAAAACTGTGGAAAAAGATCGATTAATAGGGTGTTCGCAACGGGCACCTTAATAATCGATTCTTTACCATAGCTTCAAATGGGGAAACATCAATGTATCGCAAAGCACGCCACGCCACTGCTTTCATTATTGGGGCTTTATCATTGTATTGATGACCTGATCTTCTTGTTGGTTCTTGAGCGACTTGTTGAGCGATTTGTTTAGCAAACAAGCCAATGTTCGGTAAACTCTTTAGGCGCACTGTTACCCAAAGCTCATCATAAGCCAGCAAAATGGTACTAGACAGCCAAAAAAAAATTAGGTGAAAGTTGCTGCCTTATTCTGCTGTGCTGAGGAAAAACGCCGTATGAACATTCGACAGTTGTCAAATTTCCTTAGATAAATTATTTATTTTTAGGGAAAGTTATGAATATTTTTCTTTGAAATTTTCAGGGACTTTAGGTAAAATTGCGAACAAAATTCTCTGAAAAATTGAAAGAAAAATGTTTACAAATTTTCCCGAAAATTCGTGATTTCCTATAGGCAACGCCTGAAGGCTCATAAGGCGTTTCTCCTGAGCACGGCAGTATTGCTATCCACGAGACAATGATGAATTCCCCAGAAGAAAAGTTTCCACCGGGTCGCCGAACAGAGGCGGATCCAGCATTTTGGCAACACCGGATTGCTTCCATTTAACCTATGGTAAATAATCGATTCTCACCGGAGCACCTGGGCCCTCCAAGAATTGATATATTTCCATTGGGTTAAATGGAGAAAATACAATGTTGCCAAATTGCTAGAGCCGCAAATGTCGCCGAAGGGTTAGTAGAGGAGCTCTGTTTGTGTCCGGAAAAACTTACACTTCCACCATTTTCACCTAAAACGGTACCAATTATTCTCTCCTCTTGTGCGCATCAGAATACTGAAGTGATCATTGAAGTTCTGAAGTGACATTAAATAGTGTCAGAACATTAGTCATCCGTGTGATCCTGAAAATGCCGGGAATGACAAGTCATCGCGCAGTTATGCGCCCTATCGACAATAACGAGCGACCGAAACGGCCGTCCAGCTACTCGCAGGAATGGGACGGATATTTCCGTAAGTACCTGAGCATACTTCATTATGACAACCGCAAATAGTAGTCTTCGTAATCCGCTCTCAAACGCGGCTCGTGCATTCACAAGTGGGTTGCTCCCACTCAAGGACAGGATAGGCAATCTGACCTACAAATGCAGAAAAGGGATTATAAAAACTCCAAAATGTGTTTATTACCTAGGAGCATGCGTATGATCATTAAAAGCAGTTCGCATCAAGCATCATCAAGTTTTCAATTTTTTTTTTTAAATTTCAAAAGATTTAGTGTGAAAAAGCATTTACTGGCTCTGGACCTATAGAAGAATTGAAAGTCCAAGGCAACTTCGTTACTTGATACATCTGTTCAGTTTACAGAATCGGACATTTTATTTATGTTTTGCAATCTGAACTTTCTTCCTCGAGACCAATAAGTTCGGACATGTAATCTACAGTGCTCAATTTTCGATTAAATTATTTGGTTCGACTCTCCTAACAATTGAATTTCCTTAATGAACTTTCGGACTGGACCGACTTAAAAGAAGTTCGGTCACTCGAGCCGAGAGTTTGGTGTGATAAATCGAATATTTCAATAGATATTGAGCTTTGAGCATTTCATTCTTAAGACTGTATTCTTTTTGTCCGGTGTCATGTTTCGAGCATGTGCTGTGTGTCTGAGAGTGTTTTCGTGTGAAACTCTTAGAGCTTCATCTGGAAAAATAACCAAGTTAAGAAATAAGGAATAAGTGAATCAAATTCACGTGGGTAGGCAATGATACAATGAAACATATTGAATACATTTTAACTCGGGAATCCTACTTGTGTGTGTGAGACAGTCCGTTGAGTTCTCGTTATTCCCACCGACGATTCTTTCGATGTTGCAATAATGTGCCTTTCCTCCATTCAATTATATGTAAAGCCCAAAGAATTATCTCTATTCCAAAATAGTTCCATTCTTCATGAAAGTAACTTCAGTGCGGTGAGTGCGCAAAGAACGCACAAACAAATTTACAACAAATTTGTTCATACAAACAAATTTTTTTTTCCATGTACAGGCATAAAGTGGGATTATATTTGAAGATTTACGAGTGCTCCCATCATACGGAGATCAATTCTGATCTCATGAGTCATAATTTTAATATCAAGGAGTTAAATGTACGCAGAGTTCAATCGGATTTGGATGCTGCCCAGGGGGCTGTCATCTAGCCTTAATTAAGTTAAACCCCTCCCTTCCCCCCTAGCCTCTGAGAAGAATGCCTCCCTCAGAGGCATTCTTCGTTTAAAGTTCGTCGTGCGCAGCAGGGCCAACGATCTATGCAATGCTCCGTTCTCAGTCAATCAATCTAATGAAACACTAATTGTAATTTCATTGTTCGCATTGTTTTATTGAAAATGGACTGAGACAAGGTGTAAATTGTAGCATGTCGTGTCGTTCAAAAACAGCACACTCTTAGAGAATTTTAGAGGAAAACTTGCTAGAAACGAATCTATTATCTTTTTCGTTCCGATTAGACCGACGATTCTTACTATAACCAGCTTATTCACATCAAACATCGTCTAATTTCCTCTCATTCTAAACTTACTTTCTTCTGTCCCCCCCCCCCCCCCCCCCCCCCCCCCCCCCCCCCCCCCCCCCCCCCCCCCCCCCCCCCCCCCCCCCC